TACTTAAGAAGGTGCTCTGCAATAGTAAGACTGAAAGCTTTATGACAAGCAATTCAGCCTTTATTTTAATTAAATCTAGGCCTTGGAGATAGAGGCGGTAAGATGATAATTATCTGCATAAGAAGGAAAATGTCATTAGCAAACACATATTCAGACAGATTGAAATTACAAATGTGCTCCACAGCTGGAACAAATTTGATTAAAAATTCATATATGTAAAGGCAAACAGGTCTTGGGTAATTATGGTCAAAGCAGGAAAAGCCACCAGGTTACACACATCAGGTTCTGCACTGACAAAAATCAGATCTTACTATCTGATCTGAAATTCTAGTGAGGACCTGTTGAGAGCGTCCTCACCCCACCCTACCCCACCTCCTGCCACAGGTTAGATTGTAAATTTTCTAAGTAACAGACCCTATGTTGTGAAACACACTTTCCTTAGAAGTGAATCCCTTTCCTCTCTGTATTTTACTAAGCATTTTATTTTAGCATGCCATTGGTCCCAGCTGGTTGTGGGCATCTAACCCTTTATGTATAGGAATTCCTTGACTTACAACAGCTCATTTAGTGACTGTTCAAAGTTACAACTGCACTGGGGGAAAAAAATGACCTAGGGCTGTTTTTCACACTTATGACCACTGCAAAAATCTCCACGGTCATGTGATCAAAATTTAGATGCTTGGCAACTGACTCATATTTACAATATGACGGTTACAGTGTCCTGGGGTCATGGAATCCCCTTTTGCGACCTTTTGACAAGCAAAATCAATGGGGAAGCCAAATTCACTTAACAGCTATGTTGTTTAACAACAGCAATAATTTGCTTAACAACTTAACCGTGGCAAAAAAGGTCATAAAATGGGGAAAACTCACTTAACTGTCTCGCTCAGCAACGTAAATTTTGGGCTCAATTGTGGTCACAAGTCAAGGACCTGTAATTGCATTATATATTATTTTCAATTAATTTGATAACTTTTTTATTTTATTTTTGTTTTGTTGTACATCACTCACAAGCTTAATTAATCGGGGAAATCAATACCATAAAGAAATAAAGTAAATAAATGTTTTTCACACAAGATATACTAGAAAAATGGCTTATTACTATATTGTTCTACCATCAAGAGCGTACTAACTTACTCAAAACTAGTTAGATAATGTGCCATTAAGGCATTTTTGACTCCTAATATTCACATAGATTTTATCCATGATGATCTATCCCTAATTTTTTTCTAACATAATTTGTGTACTTATGCCACTTCATTTAGTGACCGTTTGAAATTATAATGGCACTGAAAAAGGAGACTTACAGCCAGTTTTCACATTTACAATTGTCACAGCATTCATATGGTCATGTAATCAAAATCGAGAGCTCGCCAATTGCAGTATCCTCCTTCATTTAACTGTTTTGAGTGATTCGCTTAACAACCATAACAAAAAAAAGTTATAAAATCAGGTGTAACTATTAACCACCACCTCGTTTAGCAACAGAGATGCTGGTCCCAATTACAGTCGTAAATTGAGGATTCCCTGTAATTATTCGCTGTGCTGTTGACCATGCACTTTCTACCTTTCACAGTAACTGAGCCATCTCCAAAGAACTGAGTCTTCACATTGCCAAGAGCTCACGGTTCAGATAAAATTATTTTGAGGCTTTATTGACTTGCTTTGCCTTTGTGAAACCAGAAATTACAAACCTGCTCTTCTTCCCTTTTCCTTGGAAGTGAGTTCTTAAAACATGGCTATCCAGCTAAGAGAAAGCAATCCCAGTTGGCAGTCCTGAATGCTCTGGCCCTTCACGAATTCATCTACTCCCACTGAAAAACTAAATTAGTAGCTATCTGCCACATCCAAGCTAATTTTTCACTTGGAGAAGCAGGAGGCAGAGCCTTGTAGGTTATTGCAGAAGTCCAACAAGAAAAACAGCTCGCTGCTTTTATGTGGGATTTCTTTTAAGGCAAAGCAGCATGAAGACGAAAAAGGCTATGCCTTGAGCTCATCTAAACTAAAGAAATGAAGCCTTTTGTTATGAAGCATGCACTGTGAATAGGTGTACTACGGGCTTTTCATGAGGGAAAAAAAAGCAGTTCATGTAAACAGATTAATAAAGGAAAGAGTGATCATAATAGAACAGGGACATCTCTAAGCGACATAGCCTTATAATTAAATATCAGGAAATGCAGAAGGCTCACAGCTCAGTAGATGGGAAAGGGGAAACTAAATAGGATTGCTGATGTTTCTATCCAAGTACTCCCTGCAAGATAGGTGGTTAATAGAATGAGAGGAAATAAAACAGGCTATAGAACTTGCAATGCTTGGGGGACACAGTGAACCTGGCCCAGGTGGGATTCACAGAGAAAATATTCAGCCATATTCTTCAAAGGCTAGAAAAGACCTAATTATTATTCCTGACCCAAATTCAAAATGTCCACGCTAGAACAAATATACACGCTTTTCAAGGATTTGCAAGAATTGCAGCCTTCCAAGATATCGCTACTCGTGCTTTTAGTAAAAAAAAAAAAGTGAGTACTGCAGCTTGCTAGCACATTAAGGAGTGATATTATGCAAAGCACATAGTGTAACAATTCCAGGGACAGAGCAACCACCTTGACCTAATTTCTTATGTTTCACTGATACACTACAGATTTCCAGCCAAATTCGGTACAGATACAGTAAGAAAATAAAATTAAGAAACAAAAGCTAAGCTACCTTAGTCACTGACATTTCAAGACCAGATTAGCAAATATCCTGTTATTCCAATTTTCAATAATGCCTAGCATACTAAAGAGCATTCCTCTCCCCACTCCCCTACCCCGCCCCCCCAACACAATTTGAGATCTCTTTTTGTTCAGTGGATATACCCAGCTCTGAAAACTATCAATCAAACTCTACTGAAATCAGCAGTTTTGCAAATGCCTAGGATGGCATGCTTAATTTGTAATTTGATGATGTATGCATTATTATTTCGCGAAGCCTTACGGAAGATCTTTTTCAATATTTCCTAACATGATCACAAGGAAAAAGAAATTGCTTAGGCAACTTTTCCAGTCTCCAAAATTCCATGGCAAGGGATAAATTCATTCATTCTCCTCACCAGGGAGAATATTGGCTAATTTCACCTATTGATTTAGCCTGGCAGCCTAGGAACTAAAATATCATCAATAGCCATTAAAACAAATCTTACAAAACTCCATGCTAAAAGGGGGGGTCCCTTTTCTAGAGTCAGGGAGAACATCCCTTCTGCAGAGATTTGTTATTGACTCACCAAAATCCCCAAGCAGTCAAACGTTGGCCCTTATTAGTTATATACATCCAAAGATAATAAAATAATAACATCTGACAACCCAGGTCCTTGGGAAGGACTAGATAAGTGGATAGAAATGCCAAAACCAATCCGAACATGTGGCTGACTATCTGACAAACAATAACAAGTGCCATTTAAGCTCAACATAATAAGACCAGGTCCTTTTTAAAGACTTTTACCCCAGAAAACAATATATCCATTAGATTTCCTTGTCCATTTTAAATTATTTTATTTCTATTCATTTATCAAATTTATAGAGCCACCCATCTCAACAAAAGTGACTTTGGGTGGTACACAATGAGATACAATAATGTTAACTTGCCAGGTTGACAGCACTGCATTCAATGTATTGATCCTTTCTAATCTATGGGACACAAGTGTTCCCTCTTAATCCAAAGATCTATTCAATGGGCCTTTCCTCTATCCCACGCAACTTGACAAATGCTGTTCAAAAGAACAAGCAAAGTTACAACTTATCCAAGCTTCAGTCACCTCATGCTATGTGTGGCACAGAACTCAATGTTTCATAGTTAAGGTCAAATCGCAAAGACTACCAGAAACAAAGAAAAAAAGTACTTTCACTCTTCTTGAAAGTCTGCAGCTTGGGGGAAAAAATAAAATAAAACAAAAACACATTTAGACATATCATTTCCACTCTCCAGGCAACATGTGTATTGGGGGGGGGGGTAGAAATGGTGAGTATAAAAGATCGCAACTTATAAGCAGCCGCTGCTTTTCTTGGTAAGCAACCAATCAGATAGAGATTGTAAATCCTAACTCCGGGGAACAGAAGTCTAGGAGGGGGATCAGGTTTTTAGTTCCCCCCCCTGAAAAAAAAGTGTGTAGGAGAAATAATTAGCCTTACTGGCTTCCAGACAAGGACATGGACCCTTCATATAATTGCTCCGGGGCACTGCGCAAAAGACCCTTAATTAGAGATGCCCTAATGGAGGAGTTGCAAGCAAGCCTATCTTCAAGAGTCAGCTGATTTCCCTCCCTCCGGACACCTCATAGTGGGGGGGGGGGGAAGGGGGGCACACCCTGGAAGACCTGAAGACTAGAGGGGGCAGCGAAGGGATCAACGGGTAGACATAAAAGAGAGCCTCGTTGGTGTCCATTAGGGATGGCCTACAGATCTGCCCCCTCCTTTCCTTGAGGAGAGCGTCCATCTGTATTAACAGGGTGTTCTTGACTTCCTTTGATCGTGGTTGAATCTTCGTCTCCTTCTTGTCTTTGGGGACGGGGGCGGGGGGGAGTATACTCACACAAACACATCAAGTCCAGGACACGCACAATGCAAGTCATCCTCTCCCCGGCAAGCCTTACAGTAAGCCGGGAACGGGGTCGTTTTAAAGGGAGTTGGGTGAAGGATGCAAGAAATGGAGCCCCCCACCACCACCACCTCCAAGTCCCAGCGTTGGATGTCGGAAGGAGCCGTGCCAAGCCGCGCGCGGAAAAAAAAAAAGAGAGAGGGAGAGAGCCCGGATCAGAGTTGGGAGCCGATCGCGACGCGATTAACGGGAGGTAAAGGCAAAGAGAGCTTTGTCCGAGGAGCGAGTGCGAGTCCCTAGGGAAGAGGCGGGGAGGGAGGGGAAAAGGAAAAGAAAAAAAAGGAGCTGCTGGACCGGCGGACAAAGAAGCAGCCGCGGTTCGCTCCCAGCCGGGCAGGTCCCGGTGGCATTTCTCCCACCTCGCTCACCTGGTAGATGGCGGCCCAGCTGTCCTCCTGATCCAGGCGCTGGAACTCCTTCTCGATCTCCATGCTGGCGGGGAAGGGCTGAAGTCTGGCTGGCCCCTGCCTGCCGCCGCCGCCGTTGCTGCTACCGCTGCTCTTCGGACGCCAGGGCGAGTCCCAGCCGCTGCCCGGAGCGCTGCCGCCGCCGCCGCCGCCGCGGCTCTTGCTGCCTGGTCGCTTCAGATAGCGCCTCCCCTTCCTTCTCGCTCCCTTCCAGCCCACACGGAAACTACGCAAGCAGCCTCTTAGCCTTCCGGCATGGTCCTCCCCGAGCTGAGGAAGCCTGCGGGAAGCTCTTCTCGAGAGCGGCGGTCTGCTCCGGAGAGGAAGCGGAGCTTCCTAAGAAGGAGGATGTTCCGCTGTGATGCTTAGCTCCCGGCGCAGCGAGATCAAAGGGCCGATCATTAGTGCCTCTGGGCATGTGCCGATCATTAGTAACTCTCTCTCTCTCCCTTTCTCTCTCTCTCTCTCCCTCTCTCTCTCTCTCTCTATATATATATATATATTCTTAAGTTTT